AAACGAAATAAACAGGCGAACTTTGTGGTATGTAAACTGCATCTCAATAAAGCTCTTGAGACAGGAAAAGGGCGCTCTGCTCTTCCTGCCTTCCCAGGCATCAGCGGAGGGGAAAAGGTGACCTCCAGTACCGCCCCCGAGGCGGGAGGACCCGCTTTGGCTGGAAGTGGAGGCGCCGTGGCGGCCCCTCTGCGTCCTGGCAACCTAGGTGAGATTCCTGCAGCCAACATCACCGAGTGCTGGTGCACCACCAGGCCCCCTTAGGTGGCCAGCGACTGTGTGCTCCCGACAGCCACGTGGGTGGCATGTCCCCTGGGTGGCGTGTCCCGCTTTTCAGAAAGACGAGCCTCGGATGCTTTTCTACCCAGCCAGTGGAGCCTAGACTCGAACTCGCTCTCGTCCTAGTGCGTCCAGGCTCGGGTTCGACTGAAAGGCTGAGATCCGAATCTCAAGGGCACGGTCCCTTTAAGAAGGCGTGGAGCCCCGCGATGAGCGGCGGGCCGGCGCGAGAGGAGGCCGGAAGCGCGTGTGACGTGATCCGGGACGGGGCGGTGCTCCGGCCGGAAGCGGAGGTGGCTGCATCGCCGACGCTCGGGGCTCGGGTTCCGAGTCCAGGTAGGTGGGGAGAGGGTGGCGACTGGGGTTACCGCGGAGAAACTGAGGCAGAGGTTGAACCAGACCCTGAAGCCTTGGCCACCATGTTGTTGGGCGGAGGGAGGGTCAGGCCCCGGCGAGAACCCAGAGGGGCGGGACAGGGCGGGCTTCCTTGGGAGCGGGGCCGCGACGGGTGCGTACGAGTTCGCGGGGCGGGAGGAGCGGCCCGGGCAAAGGCGGAGAGGTGGACGCCCGGGTCAGCGCTCCCTTCCCCGCCTGCAGAGATGGGCTCCAAGACCAAGAAGCGCGTGCTGCTGCCCACCCGCCCAGCGCCCCCCACGGTGGAGCAGATCCTGGAGGATGTGCGAGGGGCGCCGGCAGAGGACCCAGTGTTCACCACCCTGGCCCCGGAAGGTAGGGGGAGACCTGTCCCGGGGAAAGGCGGACCTGAGACCCCGGCAGCAAGGGGGACGGGAGAGAAGCACACCCCTAACTCCTGACCCAACGCCCTGGGAATCCCAGTAACGTGGGCACGATCCATATCCTCTCCGAGCCTCCCTCTCCGCCTCTGTAGAGTGGGACCGATTTTCAGAGGGTTCTTCAGGCAGGGGAGGAGGCCGGGCGCTGTAGTTCAGGCCTGTAAGCCCAGCACTTTCGGAGGACGAGGCGGGAGGATCGCTTGAGCCCAGGAGTTCGAGACCAGCCTGGCCAACATGGTGAAACCCCGTCTCTGCTAAAAATGCAAAAAAAGAAAAAAAAAATGTTAGCTGGGCATAGTGGCAGGCGCCTGTAATCCCAGCTACTGGGGAGGCTGAGGCAGGAGAATCGCTTGAACCCGGGAGGCAGAGTTTGCAGT